CTGGCACAAGCAGAATTGCATTATCGCTCAATATATCTTCGTGTACACACTGAGATATAGAAAACAAAATTGATCTCACCATAATGTTCAGCCGTTTTTAGAAGCTGACACCTGATGAAATGGTCCTGTAAAACGCCACGTCCTATAGATCACCTGCAGCTGGTGTACCTCATTGATCTGTCAAAGCTATGGCTGCTGAACTATGCAGAAAAAATAGTTTTCGGATCCTCGTATGATGATTCGAACCACCAGACTGTCCTCCACAGGGTTGCTAAATGAAATTTTGAAAAATCAAGAGATTCTCGTAAAAAAATCAGGATTGATCAGGAGATTTTTCATGATATATCAGGAGAAAACCAGAAGATTATTTTTAAAGGTATGGGGGTACTAACGAGGGATAGCCATCCACTATCAAATCGCTTTTGACCTAGAACTCAGTCGACAATAGGTAATCGAGTGTGCTGATTCCGAATATCATAATGTTTTGGGCTGCTAGGCCTTTGGAGACCAGTTTTCATTAAACGAGGTTCTGGACCTCGGAGATCCTTTGATGTCAAAATATCCCTTCAGATGGTTTTTGTGGGCGAAGGTATCTCTTTCAAGTTTTTGCCCACGAAAATCACCAAAAAACTCTCCAAAGCTCTTAAAAGGTGGTTTTTCAGAGGTCTTGCAGTACGCTCTTTCATCTGAAGGGATCAAAAAATATTTTAACGTCAAAGGATCTCCGAGGTCCAGAACCTCGTTTAATGAAAACTGATCTGCGAAGGCCTAGCAGCCCAAAATATTATGCTATTCGGAATCAGCACACTCGATTACCTATTGTTGACTAAGAAGCGATTTGACAGTTGATGGCTTTCCCCCGTAAGACTTTTTTCCTTGACAAGAAGACAATTTTCACTCTACTGAAGTTTATGACCCACATGTACTTAGTGACTACCGCCATAGCTTGTCTTATAATCATGACAGACTGTAGTAGAGACTGAACAAGAAGATTTTGCACCAATAAGTTTCAAGGGTCATTATTCTCATCTTCCGACGACGGTAATATTTTGATAAACATAAAGCAGTTTCTTTGTACACAATATATTTTAATAAAATTAATAATCAGAGTTATGCCGAAAATAAGCACTGACAGCGTGCCCTATTATTTATTGCTCAATCTATCAAAAATTGCGATATCTTGTTTCTTCTAGTGTGAAACACGACTGAACAGAAGTGTTGAAGTATAAAGAGGAACGTTTGGACCACCATCATCTCTTTCCCTCACAAAAAGAAACTTTTTACTGATTTAAAATATTGCTCAAATGGAGATCTAAAACAGAAGTAAAAAACAGGTGAAACCGAGTGAAAATATTAAAAACCAATTCCTGAATCCAGGAGCTTTTTCACCAGGAAAAAAGTCTAAAAAGCAGGATTATCTTGGCTAAATCAGAAGATTTGGTAACCCTGGTCCTTCACAATTCTGCTCAAGTACCATCTTCCCATATGTTATGGTCCCGAAGCTATAGATATTCTCCAAGGATATACCTGTCGTCCACGTCTTACCTGTGGGAGCCTCAAAAACATATAGCCGATCGAAGTCCTGATCATCGTGGCAATTTTTGTTTTCTTCTCCAGATCAAATTAACTTTCAATGTTGAAACTTTTTCAAAATCGGATTTTTCCGCTATGACCATGCAGAATTAAAAAAAGCTTATAGATTTGTGATTTTTTATCGAACAGCAAAGTAATTTCCTTAGAGTGTGTGATTTGGTAGGGGCTTGACGTCGCAATTACCACAAGTCTTCTGAGATGATTATTTAAGCATAAGTTTTTTGAGAAGATCCCTGAAAATTCCACTGCAAATCCACTGCTCGCAGTAAACTCTTTTAGCTTGTTTCATGGTCTGCGTCTCGTGCAGTCTCTCTCTTGGAATTTTCATTGATTTTGGATAACAAAAGACCGAACTGTGAGGTTTTTAATTTCGCATCACACAGTGAAAAAGCCGATTATGCAAAATCTTCATCGTAGAGTTCGGAGAAAATAACCATTGACACGATGATCACCATACTTAGTTGTCATCATGTCGTTTTCAAGTTCGCGGAACGTCTGATAGGAACGTTCTCGGAGAATGTCCATATCTCAGGGCCTATAACGGATGGAGAGGTAAGATTTGCATAAAATTGCATATACATCAAATGTTTCTGAGGTTCCCGCAAGTATGACGTGGACGCTAGCTCGGGACCATAACATTTGGAAAGAAGATACTTGCGTAGAATTGTGAAGGACAGTCTGGTGGTTCGAATCATCATACGAGGATCCGAAAACTATTTTTTCTGCATAGTTCAGCAGCCATAGCTTTGACAGATCAATGAGGTACACCAGCTGCAGGTGATCTATAGGACATGGCGTTTTACAGGACCATTTCATCAGATGTTAGCTTCTAATTGCTGAATACTGCAGGTCTCTATCTTTTGGCTATCAACACTTATTCAAAAAATATGTAGTTCATTGTTTTCTGGCGCAGATGGTAGAAGAAATGATGTGACTACCACTTGCATCTGCTACCACCGCCAAAGATGATAATGCCGCTCCAAAAATCCACGCTAACCAGGACAAGAAAAAGGTACATCTATTTTCTAGTGGTAGCCGGCGACGGATTATGAAAGCTTGAGAAACTTCCCATGCACAAAGATTATTCTATCATAAACTCGTTTTTAAATTTGTGATGTTGTTCCAAGTACATGCATGAGTCAAAAAGTTGCGGTCTAGAAAGCTAATTTTGCCAAGCTCAGATTCAATAGTAGAATGAAATATTATCTCTCTGGTTTTGTTGCTAGATCACCCTGACTCAACAAAGTTGAAACTTCACACAAAACCGCCTGTTCGTGAATATGTTGTTCTTCCGTTGCTTCACTGTATTATTACTGATGTATTTCACTTATGCAGCCAAAATCACTTTTGATCAACAAGTTTTTCACGACGAGATTAATGAATTATTAAATGAAGTGAATATTCCAGGAGCAAGTGTAATTGCAATTAATGGTTCTTATCCGTGCTACGAAGATGCATTTGGTTTGAGATCAATTTCTCCTGTCATCAAAAATGATTTAACTTCGATATTTAATTTGGCATCGGTGAGTAAAACAATTACCGGAATTGTTGTTATGAAATTAGTCGAAATTGGGCAATTAGATTTGGATCAGAATATTAATTTTTATATTGATTTTTATATTAATAATCCTACTATCAACATCGTGCATCCCAATTATTCAAATAATTCGATTACCTTGCGTCTTTTGTTAACTCACTATTCGAGCATTAATACTCAGTTTCTTCCAAACATTTATTTTCCTTTCGATAATTTCACCATTAACAATCCAGATTACGGCAACAATTATCTAGGTGGTTTCGTACTCGATTATCTTCTTCCTTCAGGCAAATATTACAATGAATCGAACTGGTTACCAGTTCCACCAGGCAGTGAATATTCTTATTCGAATGTCGGAATTGCATTAGTTGCGTGGCTATGCGAGGTTGCAACGGGAGAATATTTCTATAGTTTAACTAATAAATATTTGTTCAAACCATTGGGAATGAGCGATGCCACCAGCTGGTTTCTAAAATCAGTCCCAACCGACAAACAGAACCTATTAATGAGACACTATATTTTTAATGAAACAAATCAAACTTTTTTTCAAAATTCTTTTTCTCATTTATCATTCAACTCGTTTCCTGATAAAGATCATCCTCAAATCAATTGGACAGAATCTGAACCGTATGGTTATTATATTTATCCCGGGGGATTATTAAGGAGTACAATAGGCGATTTGGCCATGCATTTATCAATGTTTATTACGAATGGGACTTATTTAAATCCCATCACCAACAAGAGTGTAGAGATATTAAAAGCCAGTACAGTGGCAGAAATGAGTCGAATTCAATATCCTCAATTTAAATTTCCAACAGGTTTAATTTGGACGTATTATACTTTAAATGTGAGTCGAGTTCGGTTTCTATTGGGCCATACTGGCTCAGATATTGGTGTCACTACATTTATGTTTTTCAATCCTCAAACTCAAATTGGAGTCATCCTATTGACAACAGGAAACGTTTTAAGTACCAATGATTGGCAAAATGATCGTATCAGAAATCAATTGTGGCTCATTATGGATAAAGTATTTAATGCTTTTGAGTCTAAGCCTATATCTGACTGTTCTTGTCGTATCTCTTCGCTCGTCCATTGGTGTGCTACTTTATTCATAATCCATCTTCATAAACATTCTTGAAGTCAACGGCACTCACACTCAAAGTAAAGAATGTTGCTAACAGAAATCAATTGTCTGTGTTTTCTACCTGTAAGCATGGGCTGAAAAGCAGATAGAAGCTATACTGAGCAACTTTTTTATACTTTTTTTTGTCTACATATCAGATCTGGTTATTGAAAAATATTTGTTTGTTTTCTTGTATAAAGAATTTCCTTTTTTCTATTTTTTTGCCATATGTCACGTCACTTTCTTCAGATGTGTAATATTTCATTCAGCTTAGTTTTGTTCGTTGACGCCATATCTGATAAAAAGGTTTCGTTGAGCCTTTAAACATACATTCCTGAGGAGGAAACATTTTGTACTCTAAAACACACACTAAAAATGCAGGTATGATAATGTTGGAAAAAAGATATGAAAGCACTAAGATTGATAAAAAAAAACGGTTTTGCCAATCAAGCAAAAATAAATGCTTTTTACGAAGACTTATGCTATCTTGTCAGATGGCAAAACCCACCAGGACACTGGGTTAACACTTTTATATCGGATGGCTTTCTATATTAGGAGTAGGTTTACTGTTGAGTCAAAAAAAGAATACCTGTTGTCATTTTCGAATTTTTTAGATGTGCTAGAGACTTCGAGTGTTCATCGCTTTGAAGACATTTTACTGCTTTTTTCATTAAAAGACAGATAAGAAATTTGATTTTTCAATTGCTATCCTTTATGTTGATAACTAACATCCTTTATTGTACTCTGAACCAGTTTTACTGTAGTTCTTTTTCTGTCTTTAATTGGGTTATGAATATGTGGTAATAATTTTTCCTTTGATGCATCTATTATAGTGTTCTTTCGTATATTTTCATGTCATGCATCGTCACAATCCTATCATCCATTTTTAAAAATGATGGTGCCGAGAAGAATGCGTATAACTTTTTAACGGTGATAGATAGCGACCTGCAGTTTTCACCATTCGAAAGAGCAATCCGGGGGACATAAGTTTATGGGAAAAGGAAAAAGTTATCTCAGGATTATTATAACCCAGAAAAGTTATCATAACTCCCAACCTTTGGAGTAACGCTTTTTATTTGACTTTTTCGACTAGTCTAGTACTTCTCGACGTCCTCTTTCAGAATCTAAAAGAATTGTCATCTTATCTTACAGGGCACACTCAGTTTGTCAAAATTGACGAGAGCTTTTCCTCCCAGTCGCCGGTTCTCTCAGGGGTGCCAGAAGGGTCCACCCTCGGCCCTTTACTTTTTTATTTTATTTCTAAACGACTTTCCGGCGCCAGTTTCGTCTGTCTGTGATAGATAGTTTTTTTACTGATGACCTTTTTGTGGTTTATCGTTCAAAAAATCGGAAAACATTTCTGTTATTCAGAATTTAGTTCAAGCTGAAATAGACAGAGTGACAGACTGGTGTGAAAAAAATCATATGTCACTCAACGTTGACAAATGTTCATACACTTACTTTTCACTTGATCCTAAAATAAAGCCCGATTTCAAGTTAACTCTATTAAACTCGAAGCTCTTGCTCGATACCGATCCTAAACTTTTGGGTATGCGTCTTTCACACGATATGAAATGGGCAACCCATATTCGCGAAGTAGCAACAAAGGTAGACCACGTGCAGGTGGTATTTTATAAGATAATTTTATGTCGTCTTGTAGCTAATTATCTTCTTTATGCAATACTGAAAACCGCAAGACTTCAAAATACATAGTTCAAAAATTATTGAAAAAATAGCCACCCTCATTCTTTTTTTTACCGGTCAGTGATGGACATTACAGATATAGTGAAACTTTTAGATTCTCAAAGATTATTTTTCAAGGTGGGAAATTTAAGTCGAGTGCAATCGTGTAGAAGATGAAATGAAAGTGCAAGGTGGGTACAGATGAACTTTACGCAATGGGGACAAGGGAGTATAGCAAATCAGCAAATGCCCATGAACGGTCTCTAAGCGCTTTCTTATTGATCAAGACCTTTTAGAACGATTTCTAAAATAAAAAAAGTGCTCCTGTAGATAGATTATCGAGCATAGGAAAGAAGTAAATGGCAAAATCCAAGCAAAAATCACCTGTGACGAAAATCCAGATACATTTCGTCTGTAATCGCACAAATACACGACTAGTTGTCATCTATATTACGAGTTGGATCTTTAACTAGATGCGTCCACATGTGCAATCGTCCATGAGGTTTTCTTTTGTTTGATCGGCTAATCGATCCATCACAACTCATGACGATTGGAGAGAACACCTGAATCATGTTTATGTAGCTATGATGAGTGAAAATAAGTGAGCTTGGAATGAAATAGCCAAAACTAAAGAATAGCAAGCAACAAAACATTTATCTCTATGTGTTTATGAACTCTAACTCAAATCGAAAGTAGACATCGGGGCATATGTATCCAGATCTTCAGCAGTTCGAGCAGAGTTACTTCCATTGATAGCCTCAAATGCTCCCTCTAAAATGAGAGACAACTGACTTCTTCATATTTCGCCATTTAGACCTTGCACGAAGTGTCTTAAGAGCACGAGGATTCGTATCCCGTGAATTGCAGTAACTACATTAATCTACTTTTCATAAAAACTTCTGTTTTAGTATCTGAAATATGATTTCTTTCATCGTCATTTGTGTATTATCATTGTCAAACGTAAATTATTTCATGTTTCCTTCACAACATCTTGAACTATATCCCACCACGCAAAATTTGGATGTGTGTTCCCGCTGATTAAACTGAATATTCGACGCAAATAGTATTTGTTCTTGTCTTATGTTGATTTTAACAGAAAAGTCATCCTATATGCATGATATGTGCTCCATTATTCCTTCATTTACTTCTTTTTTCTTATCTTGGCACATAACATACGTATACAACGACTTTTTTCGTAAAATCAATAGAGCAGAAGAACAAATTTTAACGATATCTGTCGATTATATTGACAAGGCAAAGAGTGCTTAGTGTATTCATGAGAAATTTTATATGTGTGTATGCTGCTACAATCTAGGCCACATTCGCCAACAGTATCGAGTGAACGATCGGAGTGGGTGCTTCGTTGGCTACCAAGATATTTCAATGTAAAATTTAGTTTAATATTTCAGAAACTATAAGGGAAGTTTTTCTGAAAAGTAGATTAATTTATAGCACAACTCATGTACTTCAAATTATTATGAAAAGTAAAACTGGATCCTTTCTAATTAATTTGATTTTAATTCGCAAAGTTTCCAGTGTATATAATAGATTCACAGTGGGTACTCTTCCTTGTTGATATAATAGGTGAATATTTGATGAAAATTTGTTTTTTTTCAAGAAAGATTAACGTTCTGCACACATATACGTGTCTTGTTGTACCGTGGAATTGATTATACAAAAATCTAAAGATACGGTTTTAAAAAAACACGAAATTTTGGTTTAATCTTATTTTGATATTTCGTTTCTACTTTATTTCATTCTCTACATAAAATTAATGTGATTATTCAATGAAAAGTTTGAACACACCTTATCTCTGATTATCATGATCCGAAGAGAAAGGCCGAAAGTAATGGCAGTCAACGAGAGCTTATCTAGCTATTGAACATAAAACGTCAATCATCCATACCTTAGACAGAATTGTTTTGATAAAACTGATAAGATTCTTATCGGAATCTTATCAGTTTCTTATATAAGATTGTTTAAGATTTCCCATGGACGGTCGTAAGAGTCTTATAAGAATCTTATAAGATTTTCACAAGAGATTCGTAAGAAATTCATAAGAAATATCAATAATTCTTATTTCCTAGAAGACAACTTATGAGTTGGTTTTGCTGATTTCTGTTATGATTAAGTTGTTTGTATTGGCTGGAAAATTTCATAAGAATTTTTGATACTTCTAATGAATTTCTTACGAACCTCTTATGAAAATCTTATAAGACACTTACCACCGCACAGTGTGCATCCAGGCCGGCTGTTGATGAAAAAATGAAAGTTGATTTTTCAATAATTTTAAGAATGATTAATATACTTTGAAACATGCTCTGTCTAGTGGCAAAAATTTTTATGTCCTAGAACTTATTTAAGCTGGGAAAATCCTATACACAAAAACACACTAAAAAACCCGTGTCCATCGGAAAACCCGATTATACGCAAAAATTTTAAAAAATCAAACATAGCTATTGGGCAAACAAACATATATTCGGAATCAGCATCAAGTGCGCTATCGATTGGTAAAAAGTTTTCTATTTTTGGGCTTTCTAAGTCGGAGAAAAAAAATAAAATATTTTTCTAGCGCATTTTCCCAGGACGTGTGTTTGATGCAATGCGTGCACGAACTTTAGCGAAGCTCCAATTTTGATGAAATTTTCAGAGAATCCTGTCTTATATATGACATGTCAACACAGTTAGCGCCAATTAGCACCGACGCTTCTGGACCGAATGGTAGGTTTTCCAAAAACGTCCTAAATGCTTTGATTTTCATGCTCGATTCCTCTTTTTCGGACACCAAAGCATTTCCACTGGAAACTAATGGCATATTCGAAATCAGCGTGTGAAACTGCATCGGATGATGTATGACACAATATATTTTCTAACAAAAACATTTTCTCGAAAAAATGTAGGTGAGGGTCTTAGTGTCCTGCGGGAACGACTTTTTCCCTAATTTTCTCATTCCCATTCCCATTCCCATTTAGACTTAGGGAATGGGAACAGAATTAAAAATTGACGTTCCCAAACTTCTTTCTATCTTATTTCAATACACATAAAAATATTTCTATCTGATAACTGTTTATTTTCAATAACAGGAAAATAACAAATGTGTATCAACAAAAAATAGACTATTGATTTATTCTTAATCACATCGTAATTTAATCATCACAAATATTATTTTCTTTTTCACCATCGTCTTCCAAAATGACATTGCCAAGGTCATCTTCCGATACATCATTATTTTCATCTTCTTGTAATAAATCTTTATTAGACGATGGAAGTTCCATCGTCTAATAAGAAAATTTATAGTCAACATAGTGTTCATCATATAGAGAGAATATTCCTCTTACGGCAAACTGTTTCCCTCCCTTCCCCTTCGAAAACATTATGGGAATTATGGGAATGGGAACAAAAAGTTTTTTTAGGGATGGGAATCAGAAAAAGTTGTTCCCGCAGAACACTACCCTGAGGATCCCCATCCCCTCAGGTGTTTTTCGTCGAAAAATTTTTTTTTCAAATAATGCTTTTTTTTCTTAAAGGTTGGTTTTTGAAGTGATATACAGCCACTATTGAGCAAAAGAAATCCGTTTTTGAGCACGAAAGTTACATGACCGCCTGCTATGCAAAAAATGCACACTGTGCACCGCCCATGGGAAATTTCAAACAACCTTATGTAAGAAACTGATAAGATTCCGATAAGAATCTTGTAAGAGACTGGTAGACTTAGACGTTTCTGGTAAGATTCTTGTATAAGAATCGATAACTAGGGTACTAAGAGCCATATATCTCAAAAACTGAAAGGAATCTTTTTCTAAAGCTACAACAGCATATAGTAGAACTTCTGTACTTCAAACTAGTATAAAAATTGGAAATGAATCCTCTTTAGTTAATTTAATTTTAATTCGTGAAGTTGGCAGAATAAAGGAGGAATACTGCTTCTTTTTGACATAGAGACACGTGGGGCAATTAGAACGCGGTCAAAAAGTTTTGTGGTATTTTTCTTGTAACTTTGAAAGCTTAGAAGTTTTCACAAAACCTCCAATACAAAAGTTGTAGACTAGGGTAGTAGGCACCGAATGGTGCAAAAATCAATCGAAAATCGCACCAGAAAAAGGATTGGGAGCAGTTTTACTATGAGAGGGTCCGAAACGTTCTTATTTCCCGCAAGTGGGAAATTAGAACGTTTGCTGTGTCTGCATGGGGTAAATGGAACGCATCTACCAAAAGTAATGGGATTTTCTTCAAAATGTATTTTCTATTTTATATCTTTGTTTCACACTATCGATACAAGGTTCTTTAGAAAAAGATTTAGAGGATTGTTTCACTCATGCGCTAATGTACTTTGGAAAGTCAATGCACGTACCCCGGAATATGACGGCGAGGACGAAGGGCACATTTGTGTTCGAAATCGTGTAGTTTCCTAGAGCTGAAAGAAGTTTAACACTTGTTACTCTATTCATTCAATACCGACAATTATAATATTTACACATAATGAAATGGTTCTAAACACTTCCTTATCAATTAATGTTTTAAAATACTTATTTACACACAAAACTTGCGTTAAAAGGCCGACACTGTTTCTAATTCGATCACATAATGTGCTAAGATATATAAACTTTTGTTTTGACTCAATCATATTAATAGGAGGACAATCCGTGTAAAGAATGATAATGTACAATTATTACATTTAAATTGCGCTTCAAAATAACCGGGATCGTATATTCCACAATCACTATAGCTTGTGGGTTCAACTGTAGTAGAATTAGACTAATCTTCTACTTCTAAAAGTAAAACAACACCAAAAAAAGGCAAATTTTCAGGTGAAAGATCATAAGACACTCATACCTTCCGTAAACCCATAAAATCTATTATTCGCTTTTATCTTGTCTAAGGTAACCGCTGATGGATCAAGTGGATATAATCCTGTTTTTGTGAATGACGTAGTTGCTAACGAAGGTGTTATGGTTAATTTGTACAGTTTTTTGATCAAAGTTGGAAAATCAGATTTCTGTAAACTATTTTCTTCATGATGAATATTATATTTAGTTAAAATATCTCGTCAACTACGTTTAACGGCTACTAAAAATAGGGAATCAAGTGGTTGAAGGACATGAGTTGTATGAAACGGAAGACACAGTAAGTGAATGTTGTGTTCTTTTGCTAGTGAAGAAATCGGATACGATTGATGAGAAGTATGTCCATCAAGTAGAAGAAGTAATGGACGAGGTAAACGATGTATTTGGAATAAAACACTTTTTTAACCATTGCAAAAAAGCTATTTCATTTATCCAGCCACTTTCATTTGCATTATAGCAAGTACCACCAATACCACCAGAGCACCAGTCTCTTCGTAACGTCTTTGCCTTGTAAATAATGCATGGAGGCAAACATTGACCACCAGCAATAATAATGCAAAATAAGGTCGTCGTGTTTTGTTTAGCTGTTCCAATGTGAATTCTGTAGGGAGGTCGTCTTCGTTTGTTTTTCACAATTACTGTTTTCTTTCCTGGATCATCCAGAAAACCTGTTTCATCCACATTAAAAATCTGAGAAGGGCGATCTCTAACACCTAGTTGATTAACTATTTGCTCAAAAGTCTGAAACCATGCATCAGCACGTTACCTTGTTAAGCATACGGCTCGACTTTTTTCCAAATTCATACTTGTACGTTGTGTTAGCTCAGTTTTCCAACGTGTTAAAAATAATCTTAACCATTCAACGCCGGGACTACCGTGGGTGGACTTTTTTGATAAACCCATTTCTTGTACAAATTTTTTTACTAAATCCAATGTTTCACGACGTGATCTTGGATAGCCCCATTCGTCATAAGCTACTAGAATTTTGACTATGGTATCTTCTTGTTCATGCGTTAACGCTGTTTCTCGTCCTGCACCAACGGAACAGTTGTACAATTTATGTTTCCGAATCGTAGAAGCAGGTATTCCAGATCTTTTACTAGCAGCTACCGCATCGAGTAGCCCATTTTTTACAAGATCAACAGCTTCTTCTAATGTTTTGCTGTCATATTGCTGTCTAGAATTTTTTTTCTTATAATTACGTACCATACTTAATCAACAATTCAATAGTGTTTAAAAAATAAATTTTAAGATATAACAGTGGCTAGACTAGTGAATCTTACACATCCTCCTTTGTTAAGTGAACTGTAACAACAACAAAAAAAAGAACAGACGATTTTCTTTACGTCATTCTAGCCTGTATATTTACAAAAATATAAATTTATCTCTCCTCGGCCTGTCCAGCTAACGATCAACCTTGACTCGGAAGGTTTGATGTCAAAATAATGGAAAACTGAGTCGGCCGTTCGAAAGAGCATCGTCGATAGTATATGAATCGAGTCTTGAAAGTGTTGGAACTGCAAAGCAGAGAGCGCTACAGAGTATTTCTTTCCTTAACCTTAAGGAAGGAAAAAACGTACTGATGAGTCACTAAATCAATGGATTAGAAACCAATAGTAAATAACTGCAGAAATTTTTTTTTCTATACCTGATGATAGAAAAAGAGGCGTTCTTTCCAGTCATATGCTTTTTAGAAAATTCGGCAATCACTGCGTTTCGCAAACTCTTTTGCAAACCATCTGACTTTCCTGAGGAATTCCGTGACGAAATTCGACGAAAAAGTCTCTTAGTGGCACCGACGGTAGTTTTTCGATCTGAAAATTTCACATCCGTGTAGATCTCGTCGAGCTCTTTCAGAATCACTAAAATTTCGCTTGGTTTGTTTCGTTTTTCGGTGAGAAACTGTCATAACTCTCCGTCACGGAATTCCTTCTTCCTTAAAGATGCATCATACAAATCTTGCCATTTCGTTTTATTTCGAACTCTTTTTTGTGTGACATTTCCGTTAGGTGCTCAGATGTATGTTTAAGAAGCAACAAATGTACCTGCTGCAGCATTAGATTTGTTTTTCCTTCTCCTGCTCGACGCATTCCATAATCGCTCGTCGCGGCGAGTATTTTCTTGCGTTTCTAGATTTGACTTTTGATTCTCGCTTCTCACATGGCTGTGTCGGGCGCGGAACGAACACGTAAGTGGCGTGAGAAAAAGAAATCTGCTGGGCTAACAAACACAATGAAATTAATCGATTGTAAACGTAAGAAAATGGCTCGATCTAAACTTTCAGCAAAGATAAACAAATTGAACTGATCAGAGCAGCAGCTGAGAAACTCGGAATCCTGAAACAGAAAAACAGCGACGAACGACCAATTGATTTACACTCGTTCGTTGACCTCGTTGTCTGTGATGCTGGTAGTGAACAATGTATGTTTAGTAAATGTGGGGAGTGTAAAGACAAGTTTAAAAAAGAATTGAAAAGAAAAACTATCTATGGAAAGCGACAGATTAGTTGGACTCAATGGACTACGTCGGCGGAAGGCAGAGCAGTGAAAGTCGACTACCATGGTTCTGTAATGGAATGTTTAAATGTTCTTCAAGGAAAATTAGAACACTTTCTATTTCACGTTTTCATTAAACGACAACAATCATTATATTTTGAAAGTACGAAAGAAATGGTAACTGATTGATATTGTTTGCTGCAAGTTGACTATTCTGAAAACTATTCAATAGTAGAGCAAAATGAAATACAAAATGCTCACTGGAGCAAGAAGCAATTGTCTCTATTTACTGCTCATGTACGGGCAGAATCAGGAAATCATTCGATTGTCGTTGTCTCAGATAATCCATCACACAACAAGTATACCGTTTCGCAATGCTTAGAACATGTTTTAACAACTTTACAATCTCTGCTTCCAGAATTACAAAAACTCGTTATATTCAGTGACGGTAGTGCAAGTCAGTTTAAGTCGCGCTATATGTTAAAACACTTGACAAAGTTAGCAAGAGATTACAATGTTTTACTATCTTGGCACTTCTTCGCCACATCACATGGGAAACGTGAGTACTGTGCGATAGAAGGTTAAAAACCACTTCCCTGAAACAAATGTGCGAAGTACAACTTGGAAATGCAAAGATAAAGGAAGAGGTGTCGAGAGGGGGCGAAGCTGGAGGGTGTATTCGATAACTACCTGTGAACTTTCGTTCGAGCTACTTGGAAAACCGAAAGCTCGATCGATTTTCTCTTTTCTGAATGTTTACAGGTGTCGTCGATGGCGTTGGCGGTACAGCAAAGCGATTGGTCTATGAAGATGTTATGGTTGGCAAAACATGTCGAAATGCAGCTGATTTTGTTCGTCTCTTGGAAGATAAAAATACTCCAATAATTCTCAGTGAATTATTACCTTCTGAGATCGACGAAGCTGAAAATGAACTGAAACCGACTTTCGACAATGTTAAACTTGTTTCAGGTATTCAAAAAATGCACTCTGTGACAGTTTTCGATGTCGATGATATTGAATGTCGATACTACTCAAATAGTGATGATGCAAAAAAAATCCATTTTTCATTTACATTTATTTTCCTTCTTTGTTTTTCCTCAGGCGTGATTTGACAGTAATTTTCTACGTGATTTACGCGTGATAGCGTTGATAATTATAGAATCAGTAGAAATCGGCTAGACAGCATCATGTGT